AGCAAATATAGTATTGTAAAATAATGAGACTATGCAACTATCTCAATTTCATGCTGTTCACATTTAATAAAATAGGAACCAGCTTTATATCTACCTTCTATATTTTCTTCATCATTATGATCTAACTTGCATAATGGGCATGATGTCTGATCATAATGCTGGTGAAAAATAGGTGTATCAAAGCTTTCTATAATCATAAATGCATGCAACCAAATCTATATCACATTTTCTGGAATCTAGAAATATTAACCAAAAAGCTAACTTCAGAAGAAAAAATAAAGTTAACTAATATAGAAAGATTACAGATGTATAAACTATGTGGTTATAGCTATGTGATTATTCATATAAACAGTTTACTTAACTATGAGATTAGGAGCCATGACTTATATAGAGGGTTAGATACGTTAGAAAGATTTGTTACAAAAATAGAGAAGGAGCTTTTAACTATCCAGAAAGATTTATCTGTGTCAACTGAAATAATCATGATATTAGGAGATCTTAAAGAATACAATGAAGCAATTAAATGTTGGATTTACAATAAAGCTTTTTTTTAAGCTATTATTAGAAGCATTGCAAAAATTTGAAGAAGCTAAATATAGATTATTAGAAGTCAACAAATGAAAAGCAAGTATAAAAAAAGACCATTCAGAAAAGAAAAAGATACAAAAAGAATACTGAGAAGCTTTAAGTGAGCTCAATCGTAAAATGAAAGATCATGATCATATAAATGGTAAGTATTATGGCACTTATAATAAAAAGTTACAAATAGGTTCTTTTGAAACTAAAGTATCTTATTTATTATAATATGACTCACATCCACTTATGAAAGTTGTGAACAAGTTCACAACTGATAAGCTAAAATATATTCCAGAAAATATAGGAATGTATAAAGCTATGGATGTTGGCCAGCTCTGATTTTTAGATAGCTTTTAGCATATAGGAATAGGTCTTGATAAGTTAGTAGAATGTCTAGGAGAAAAGCTTAAAAAATTTCTCTTAACTGTCAAGTACTTTACTGAGAAAAGCTATTTAATAGATAAGATAAAGCTTCTTTTTTGAAAAGGAATATTTCCATATGACTAGACAAACTCACGAGAAAATTTAATAAAATAAGCCTTTCACCTAGAAAGGATTTTTATTTATTCTTAGTTAGCAAAATATTAGTATGAAAATGCATAAAAAGTATAACAAGAATTTGAGATGAAGGATTTTGAAGAGTATCATGACTTTTATCTTGAAACTAACGTACTTTTGTTTGCTGATGTATTCATGAACTATATTATCATGTGTTTACAAGATGATAGCTTAGATCATTCTCATTATATCTTAATATATGGAATGTTTAATGATTCACTATATAAGAGTAGTGATGCAAAGCTTAAACTCATGACAGATATGGATGAGTATTTGATGGTTAAAAGAAGCATCTGTAAAGGGATAACAATGACAAGTTATAAATATGCCAAAACTAATAACCCAAAATATTCTGACTATGATTCTAGTAAAATAAAGACTTATGTTACATATGAGAATATGAATGCTATATATTCATGTATCATGACTCAAAACATGCCTACAGAGATTTTGGGCAAGATAAATCCAGAAAAAGTTTCTAATATACAAAGTATTACACCTGATGCTAAAATAGATTATATGCTTAAAATTGATTTAAAAATCCTAATGCATTTGTATGATTTCTTCACAGATTTTCATTTAACGCCAAAAAAGCAAATAATGCCAGAAAACTGACTTAACTTATATAATGAAAAATTAGTATATGATAAGTCAATTGGAAATAAAAAATATGTGTCTAAAGAGAAGCTATTTCAGACTCTTTTTATTAAGAAAAATTATGTAGTTTACTATTAAGCTTTCTAGATATTGTTACCAGCTAAAAATTCACTATTGAAAAATTGATCTACAAAGAATTATTAAATGATTTACAAAAGTTACTGGAATTAATTTTATGTCGATCACAAATTAGAAGATC